GAAATCTATAAAACACTCTACCAAACAACAATAGAATATAGTCTTTTCTCAATTGCACATGAAAGATCCTTCAGGATAGACATATGTTAGGCCATAAAACAAGCCTCAACATGTTTAAAAGGATTCAAATCATACCAAATATGTTCTGCCCCAAGAATGAAATTGTTAGGGATCAATAAAAGAAGGAAATTTGGGAAATTCACAAATATATGGAAATTGAGCAACACACTCTCAAATACCAGTGGATCAGGGAAGAAATCACAAAAGAAAAAGAAAATACTATGAGATTAATGAAAATGAAAACACAATGTGCCAAAACTTATAAGATCCAATTAAATCAATACTTACAGGGAAATTTATAAGCTGTAAATGCCTACATTAAAAAAAGAAGAAAGACTTCAAATCACTAACCTAACCTTCCACTTAAGACCCTGGAAAAAGAAGAGCAAACTAAACCTAAAGTAAGAGGAATGAAAAAAATAAAAAACATTAGACCAGAAATTTAATGGAATCAAGGTGAGAAAACAATAGAGAATATCAAAGAAATCAAAAGCTTGTTCTTTTACAATATCAACAAAATTGACAAAACTTTAGCTAGGGTGACCTAGAGGAAGAGAGAGAGAGATCAAATTACTAAAACCAAGAGTGAAATTACAGAAAATAAAAGGATTATAAGGGAATATTATGAACAACTAAATGCCAAAAATTAGATAACTTGGGTGAAATCAATAAATTCCCAGAGAGACACAAAGTACTGAAACTGACTTAAGCAAAAATAGAAAATCTGAATCTATCCATAATAAGTAAAGAGATTGAATTAGTAATTTTAAAACTTTCGTAAAGAGAAATTGAGGCCCAGATGGCTCCAGTTGTGAATTCTCCAAATGTTTAAAGATGAATTGGTACAAAATTTTCACGAACTCTTCCAAAAATAGAAGAGGACAGAACACTTCCGATGCACTGTATGAAGCCAGTGTTACCCTGATGCCAAAACCAGACAAAGACGTCATAAGAAAAGAAAATGGCAGATCAGTATCTCTTATGAATTTAGATGAAAAATTCTCAAGAAAATAATAGAAAACTGAATTCAACAACATATAAAACAAATTTTTATGCCATGATCAAGTGGATTTATCCCAGGAATACAAGATTGGTTTAATACCCAAAAATCAATTAGTGAAATACATCATATCAATAGAATAAAGAACAAAAACCAATGATCATCTCAACAGATGCAGAAAAAGCATTTCAAAAAATCTAATACCATTTCATGATAAAAAACACTTCAGGAATAGAAGGGAACTTAGTCCGATAAAGAGCATCTACGAAAATCCCACAGCTAACACCATACTTAAGGGTGAAAGATTGAATGCTTTTCCTCTTTCTTGTCAGTAACAAGACAAGAATGCCCTCCTCACCTCTTTTTTCAACATTGTACTGGAGGTTCTAGCCTGGGCAATTAGGAAAGAAAAAGAAATAAAACGCATCCAGACTGGTAAAGAAGTAAAACTATCTCTATTCACAGATTAATGATCTTGGATATAGAAAATCCTCAGGAACCTACTAAAAAAATGATTAAAACTAATAAATGAGTTTATCAAAGTTGCAGAATACAAGATCAATATACAATAATCAATTATATTTCGATACATTAGCAATGAACAATCCAGAAATGAAAATAAGAAAACAATTCCATAAAATAGAATTGCACCAAAAAGTATAGCATCAAGAAAGGATAAAACACTTAGGAATAAATTTAACAAAAGAAGTGCAAAACTTGTACTTTTCAAAACTATAAAACATTGTCAAAGAAATTAAAGAAGACCTAAATAAATGGAAAGACATCCCATATTCATGAATTAGAAGACTTAATATTGTTAAAATGGTAATACTACCCCCAAATTGATCTACCAGTTCAATACAGTGCTAGTCAGAATCCCAGCTCACTTGTTTGTAGAAATTCACAAGATGATATAAAGTTAATATGGAAGTGCAAGTGACCCAGAATAGCCAAAACAATCTTGAAAAAGAGCAAAGTGGGAGGACTAACACTTCCAGTTTCAAAACTGGCTACAAAACTGCAGTAATCAAGACAGGGTAGTACTAGCGTAAGGAAAGACATATAGGTCAATGGAACAGAATTGAGAATCCAGAAATAGACTCTTAGATTTGTGGCCAAATGATTTTCAAAAAATTGGTACCAATACAATTTAATGGGTAAATAATAGTCTTTTCAACAAATGGTGCTGAGACAACTGAACATCTTCATGGAAAAGAATGAAGTTCAATTCCTATCACATACCATATGCAAAAATTGACTTATAATGGATTGTAGGTCTGTATGTAAGAGCTAAAATTATAAAACTATTAAGAAGAAAACATAAAAGCAAATCTTTGTGACCTTGGATTAGATAATACTTTCTAATACACATCAAAAGCACAAGCAACAAAAGAAAAATAGATTAAAAGGACTTCATCAAAATAAAAAACTTCGGGCCGGCCCAGTGGCATAGCAGTTAAGTTTGCGCGTTCCGCTTCAGTGGCCCGGGGTTTGCAGGTTTGGATCCTGGGCATGGACCGATGCACCGCTTGTCAAGCCATGCTGTGGCCGCGTCCCATATAAAGTAGAGGAAGATGGGCACAGATATTAGTCCAGGGCCAATCTTCATCAGCAAAAAAAAGAGGAGGATTGGCATCGGATGTTAGCTCAGGGCTAATCTTCCTCACAAAAAAATAAATAAATAAATAACTTCGTGCTGCAAATGATAGATAGCATCAATAAAATAAAAAGACAATGCACAGAATGGGAAAAAACATTTGCATATCATAAATCTGATAAGAGATGTGTATCCAGAATATATAAAGAACTCTTACAACTTAATAATAACATAACTGAAAAAAAATGGGCAAAGGATCTCAATAGACATTTCTCTATAGAAAATACATAAATGGCCAATAAGCACATGAAAAGATGCTCAGCATCATTAACAATCAGAGAAATGCAAATAACAAGTATGCCATTTAACAACCACTAGGATGGCTATAATTAAAAAAAAAACACAACAACAAGTATTGGCAAAGATGTAGAGATTTGGAACCCTCATACATTGCTGGTGGGAATGTAAAATAGTGAGGTCACTTTGGAAAACATTTTGGCAGTTCCTCAAAATGTTAAAAATAGGATTACCATAAAGCCCAGAAATTCCACTCCTGCGTGTCAAAAAGAAATGAAAACGTAGGTCCATGTGGACACTTGTACACAAATGTTCTTAGCATTATTTGTAATAGCCAGAAGATGTAAATAGTTCAGATGTTCCTACATCTCTGCATCTATTTGTCAATAAAAGTAATGAAGTACTGATACCTGCTAAAATGTGGATGACTCCCGAAAACATTATGCTAAGTGAAGGAAGTCAGTCACAAAGGACCACACACACATTGTATGATTTCATTTTTTATATGAAATGTCCAGAATAAGGCAGATCATAGTGACAGAAAGTAGATTAGGGATTGCCTATGGCTGGTGCTGGGGCAGGGGTGGGGGGTGCAGGGAATGACTACTAGTGGGTACTGGGTTTCATTTTGGGATGATGAAAAAGTTCTAACACTAGATTGTAAGATTGTGGTATGATCGCACAACTCTGTTAATATACTAAAAACCATTGAATTGTACACTTTAAATGGGTGAGTTGTATGACATGTGAATTATACTCCAAAAGAGCTATTACAAAAAACATCACTATATGCTCCATTTTATTTTCCTGCCAGCAGAGTATATGATTGCCATTGCCCATTTTAATGTTAACACACATTAAGAAATTTGCCAATTTGATAAACTAGAACAGTGGTCCAACTGAAAGAGATTTTGCTGGAGACATTTTTGATTGTCATGACCAGAGTAGGGGGATGCTACTGGCTTGTAGTGAATAGGGGCCAGGGATGCTGATAAACCTCCTATAATGCATAGGGCAGCTCCCTACACCAAATAATTATCCAACTGGAAAAGTCAGTAGTGCCAAGGTTAAGAAACCCTTGACTACAAATAGCATCTTGTTTTAATTTATATTTCTTTGATTATTAGTAAGGGCAAATCTCTTCCATACGTTTACTAATTAGTTGTATTTTATAAATTTTCTGTTTGTATCATTAGTTTATATTTCTTGTCAACTTACATGAGTTCCTTATGTTAGTAAGATATTAATTCTTTATTTACTGAGTTTATTTTCTTCTAGTTGTTTCCTTGAAAATTTTGGTTAAGTTTATATTAACTATTAATATGTCTCTTTTTTATATAGTCAAACATCATTTTATAATTGAATGTAGTCTAGAAAATTCTTCGCTTACCTACCTATCCCTCCCCAAATAATTTCACTGTTATTTAATTGTCTTTTCTTAGAGTTTTATCTTTTCACATTTAACTTTTTAAATGCATATATAATTTATTATAATGTGTATTATGAGATAAGGAGTAATTTTTTTCTAAACGGTAATGTCTGGTTTTCCTCTTTTTAAAGAAACATTTGGCTTACAGAGTATATTCTAGGCTCAAGATAATCTTCAAAAGATGAAGCTTTCTGCAGGTTTATGCAAGAAAGGGAATGTGCAATTACTCCTTATCTTCCTTAACTATGGGGTACAATGACATTCCATAAGGTAATTAGGTGTTTGTAAGTCACCTAACTCAGGTCAAAGCAGTAGTCATGGATATCACCATGTCAGTCTTGCAGAAGTACATAAAGAAATATCAAAGCTGGAAATGGAAATGTTTTGCAGTTTGGAATTAGTAAGTCTTTACTTAAATTATTGAATTTTCTGGTATGATCAGAGAGTTGGGGAAAGTGTGTGTGTGTGTGTATTTGGTGAGAAGGACACAATTTCTAATCAAGAAGTTAAAAGGGGTTGTCAGTTTATAACATAGAAAAATTTTATGGATCTCTGATAATATATCAGTTAAGTGAATGAATGGGAGTAAGTATAGATATCTTCCTATTATTGTGCAGATGGAGAATGAGTTAGATTCTGCTCGTTCTGAAATAGAACTCCTCAGGAGTCAGATGACAAATGAGAGAATCTCCATGCAGAATCTAGAAGCTTTGCTGATGGCTAATCGAGACAAAGAATATCAGTCTCAGATAGCGCTTCAAGAAAAAGAATCTGAAATTCAGCTTCTTAAAGAACACCTTTGTTTGGCAGAAAATAAAATGTGAGTTGGTTAACAATATAATAACATAGAGTCATATTTAAATTTTTGGTAGTTTATAGCTTAGTAGAATTTTAACGCCAGAATTTAGATGATTTAGCGCCCATAATTTGCCATTAAACTGAGCACCAGAAATATTGTAACTTGCTTAAGATTTAGTACTTATTTCTCTTATGTGTTTATCTAAATTTAAGTTTAACCATCTCTGTTCATTGTTTCCAACAGAGCTTTGGGTATAATAGAACGTCTGATCTAAAATATTGCCTTTAAGAAATATTATAACCAGATTAGAAAAAAAATTAGGCACTTCTGATACCAGAAGAATTTTTAATTTATGGACCCAACTGGTATTGCTACCTAGTCATTCCATTTGTCACGTAGTATTTCCTTATGTACCTAAAAGTGTCTACTGCAAGAACTCCTGTGTTCACAGAATACTAAGACTTCCCCCAGAGCACTGATTTTGGCTTTTTTTTTTTAAGAATCCCTAGCACCATTAGCACCTTATTACAAGACCCGTGGCTGGAGGGTTGAGTGGAAATGCCTATCTGGATAGTGAATATTTTATTATTAAACTTGGTCACATTTCACAAAAACTGATGGGGACCCTTAGCCTCTGTTCTTATCTGTCCCATCTGTATCACTTTTTCATCCAACCTCTACTCTGCCCTCCCATCTGAGCATGGGACCTGAAGCAGGATAGGAGTCATAGTCTCAGGAATCAGCCGCTCCTAGGAGCCCCTGACTAAGCAAAGGCTGCAAAGCCAGGGCCAGTTTCCTTCAGAATCTATTTTCAGGTGGTGGCATCTGTGACTGAGTCATTCTTTTCAGTCACTGCACCTGAGCTTTTGTGATGCCTTCAGCCGGTTCTGCAGGATCACTTTCTCAAGCTGGAAGGTGGAAATCTGCCTTAGTGAAGTGTGCCAAAACTCCCACCTTTAAGGGGTACGTTTTGTTTTAGACTGGCTGAGTACTGTGACTTAGAACTGGTAAGTATGATAAACTTTTGTGCTCTTAGTCTCCCAAGTTTAGACTTCAACAGTCACTACTGCAGTCCTGAAAGTAGCAAAGAGGGTAGAATGTTCTGTACAAGCTGCATTCATCTCTGTCATCTTCCTTACGATAGTGTGCCTTATCGCAGGGTGTCTGGGGCCATAGCCCTAAGGAAGATCCTGTTAAATTGAAGAGATTTTATGTTTTTAACAGTGTGTATATTAAATTTCATTATTAGTATATATAAAGCATTTGGTTGATTTTATATATATATATATAAAACAGATCATATTAATCATGGTACTAATGATTTCCAGTGTGTTATTTGGTCATACTACTACTTTGCATATAATACCTCAAAATACTTTTATAAAAATGATTTGGAGTAAATAGACAATATAACCCCATCTAAACATAGGTAAACTAAGATAGGGAAGGTTAGATGTGCTAATATATCTATCCATAAAATTCACAATTTGACTTAGATCTAGCTGAGAAATTGTTGCCAACGTGGTTTAATGTATTCTAGGAGTCCTAGCCATATTTTAAGTTTAATCACCTGTCACTCATATTCTTTTACACAGGGCCATCCAGAGTAGAGACGTGGCCCAGTTCAGGAATGTCGTAACGCAATTGGAAGCTGATTTAGACATTACCAAAAGACAACTAGGAACGGAGCGCTTTGAAAGGTACATTGGTCTCTATGCAATATTCAGCCTGGAAAGCATTGTTTCTTAGATGACAACAGATTTTGCTTATTTCATGATGGTTAGATTTCTTTTATAATTTTTATTTATTTATTTATTTTTCCCCAAAGCCCCAGTAGATAGTTGTATGTTATAGTTGCACATCCTTCTAGTTGCTGTATGTGGGACACGGCCTCAGCATGGCCAGAGAAGCGGTGCGTCGGTGCGCGCCCGGGATCTGAACCGGGGCTGCCAGCAGCGGAGCGCGCGCACTTAACCGCTAAGCCACGTGGATTTTAAAGTATGAAATGAACTACAGTTTTATGACAGTATTAATAATGTCACTGGATATAAGATTAAAAACCTCACTATTTTGCTTTAGGGAGAGGGCTGTGCAAGAACTTCGCCGCCAGAATTACTCAAGTAATGCTTATCATTTGAGCTCTACAATAAAGCCAAATACAAAATGTCATTCACCGGAACGTGCTCACCATCGATCTCCTGACCGAGGCCTAGATCGATCATTAGAAGAGTAAGTGGTTTAAGGATCAATTCTTTGGGGACCCTGTAGCAATATATACAGTGAATATTTGGGGGGAGTAAGGAAACTCAGTAACTTAATAGTGCTATTTAAATATGATTCCATGATTACATATGTTGACATAAAAATATTTTGATAATTAGTTTTATATAAATATGCTAAAGTGAAAGATCTCTATTTTATCTAATGTTTATATAAATTATATTTTAAAAATCTGATTTTCTTTTTATTTCTACAGCAAATTTTTTTCATATACTTGAACAAAATATTGGTTATTATAGCACCATACAATACACATACTCTAGGACAGTATTAAGCTAATTTTTCAGAAGAAATTATTTTAGATATTCCTATATATCACAAATTTGGTAAAAAACATTTTCATTTGGAAACAATTTCAAACTTACGAGAAGTTACAAAAATAAAAATAATACAAAGAACATCTGTATACATTTTACCCATGCTCACTATTGTTAAAATTTTACCCCATTTGCTTTTTATGTACTTATAACACAGCACGTGTGCTGTCTCGTGCACTCACACTCTTGCACATGCTCTCTCTCTCACTATACACACACACACACACACACACACACACTCTATTAAAAAATAACCAATACCTCCAGTTCCAAACCATCCTCACAGGTTTTTTCCTTGCCTTCTTTTATTCTGTATTTGTATGTCATTTCTTCTACAGTGAGAACCCTGGCTCAACAACACATTTACACAACAGCATCAGCATAGTTACTCATTTGCTCAATCCCAGAATGCATCTAAAATAGTTTCAAAATTTCTTCGCAAATATCACAAAAATAAACAGACCAACTTAAAAAAAGGTCAAGATCTGTTTGCAATTCTTCCTTCCTATCCCTTTATACTATCTTGCCCAAGTCTCGAGGGCATATAGTCAAATACTGTGTTCATAAATTACTTGGATTAATTGCTTTTTTTTCCTTTCAATGTGGTTATGGTGTACATTTGAAATAACATTAAATTCATTTGTTACAATATGCTTTTTTCAATTTTTCCCTTCCTAGCTTTTTCCTTGATTTAATTTTATTTTTGAATATGTAGATTAATATGCTTTCAAAAGTCAAAACTCTGCAGAAAAGTAATACTCAGAGAAGTGTCACTCTTTCCTGTATGCCTACCATCCCATATCTCCATCTCTTCATCCTTTCCTTTATGGTTTTATGGTAATAATATTCAGATATATTTTTTTCTTCTTTTTCCTTTCTTACGCAAATGGTAGCATATCATATATGCTTTTTTGCGCTTTGCTTTTCTCACTTAATATCTTCTGGAAATCACTCCATATTGGTTCACAGAGATCCTCCTCATTCCTTTTTATAGCTGCATAGTAGTCCACTGTGTGGATATACCACAATTGTTCAACCAACCTCCTATACTTGGACATTTAGGTAGTTTCCAACAATTTGCAATTATAAATGGCGCTGTAATGTAATCTTGTGCAAATGTATTTTTGTACTGTTGTAGGTGCATCTTCAGGATAAATTCCTAGAAGTGGGATTTCTGGGTCAAGGGATAAATGTATGTGTAGTTTTGTTAGTTAGTGCCAAATTCCCCTCCATAGGGTTGTGCCATTTTGCACTCCCACGAGCTATGTGTGAGAGTGCCTGTTTCCATACAGCCTCACTAGTAGAGTGTATGTACTGTCAAGCTCTTGAATTTTTGCCAATATAGTGGGTGAGAAATGGTATTTCAATGTAGTTTTAATTTGCATTTCTCTTATTATGAGTGAAGTTGACTATCTTTTCATATGTTTAAGGGATTTTTTATATCTATTTTTTCTGAATTATCTATTCATTTCTTTTACCCATTTTTCTAATGGATTTTTCATCTTTTTGTTGAAAAATTTTTTATAATTTTGGGAGATTATCCTCTTATCAGTGATATATGTTGCAAATATTTTCTCCCATTTTGTCATTTTTCTTTTGATTTTATTTATACTATCTTTTCATATAAAAGTTTTTATTTTTACATAGTCAAATTTTTAAATATCTTTCTTTTATGCATCTGGATTTCTATTTATGGTTAGAAAAATCTTTACGTATGCCAAGGTAATAGAGGAATTCACTGATATTTTCTTTTAGTACTTGTATAATTTTACTTTTTACCTTTAGATTTCTGATCCATTTTGGAGTTTATTTTGTATATGGTATGAAAAATGGATCTAATTTTATCTTTTTCCAAATGACTATCCAGTTGTGCCAAGATCATTTGTTAAAAAGACTTTATCCCAGTGATTCAGGTCTCTTTCTGGACTTTCTCTTTTATTCCACTTGGCCTATTTCTGTGTCAGTCTCACAGTATTTTAATTACAGAGGCTTTGTAATATTTTTAGTTTTGTAGGGCTAGTCCAATGGTCTGCTGGTAAAACTAGCTTTCCAAAGAAGGGGAGGAAGGCGAGGGAGAAGCCCTGATTTATGGCACTTGTCCATTTCTAAGATGTAAATATTCCCACTGTGGCCAGTTTTGTGGCCAGTTTCAGGCTACCAGTGGTTTAACCACCAGCTCACAGAATTCCTGGGTATTTACAATCAGCTGTGATCCAGCTCCAGCATATCAATGGGCTACCGCCCCCAAGAGCTCTTCCTTTTAAGTATTTACGTATATTTTCTTGTGAGTTTGTTTTTCCATATGAACTTTAAGGTCAACTTGTCTAGCTCCATTAAAAAAAAGCCCATGGAATTTTTATTAGAATCACATTAAATTTATAAAATAACTAGGGGAGAATTGACATCTTGATGATATTGAGACATCCTAAACCAGAAGATATGTCTTTCCATTTGTTTAAATTTGCTTTCTTTCTTTCAGGAATGGCTTGTAGTTTTCTTTACATAAGTTTTGAACATTCCTTGTTAAGTTTATTCCTTAATAGTTTATCTTTTTTTTTGCTATTATAAATGCGGCTTTCCCCATTCGTTATATCTTCAAAAAATGCTACTTTTGTGTGTGAATTTTCTATCATGTTACCTTGCTAAATTCTTTTATTGTTTCATTAAGTTTTGTCATTGATTCTTTTTTAATTTTTTGTTTATTGCAGTAACATTGGTTTATGACATTGTAAAAATTTCAGGTGTACATCATTGTACTTCTATTTCTGCATAGATTACATCATGTTCACCACCAAAATACTAATTACAACCCATCACCACACACATGTACCGAATTATCCCTTTCACCCTCCTCCCTCCCCCCTTCCCCTCTGGTAACCACCAATCCAATCTCTGTCCCTATGTGTTTGTTTATTGTTGTTTATTGTTGTGTCATTGATTCTTTAGGGGTTTCCCGGGTATACTATCATGTCATCTGCAAAAATAGATTATTTTATTTCTCCTTTTCCTATTTTTATCTCTTGAATTGTGTTCTCTAGTTAATTGTATTAGCTAATGTCTTCAGAATAATGATAAATAGTAGTGGAGAAAGTGGGCATCCTTGGTTTGATTCTGACCTTTAGTGGGAATGCCTGTAGGATTTGCCTGTTAAGTAGGATGCTGGCTTTAGGATTGAGGTGTATATGTTTTATGATATTAAGGAAATATCCACCCATTCCTGTTTACTCGAGATTTTTCGTTAGGAATGTGTATTTAATTTTGTCTGGGACTTCTTCAGTATCTATGGAGATATAGTTTCTCTTTAGAACTATTACTATGTGAATTACAGGGGCTGGCTGGGTGGTGTAGTGGTTAAGTTTGGCGCACTCCCCTTCAGCGGCCTGGGTCTGCAGGTTCGGATCCCAGGTGCAGACCTACATCACTCATCAAACCATGCTGTGGCAGCATCCCACATACACAATAGAGGAAAACGGGCACAGATGTTAGCTCAGGGCCGCTCTTCTCAAGGGAAAAGATGAAGATTAGCAACAGGTGTTAGCTCAGAGTCAATCTTTCTCACCAAAAAAAAATGTAAATTACATAAATAGATTTTCAAATATTGAACCATCTTTGAATTTCTGGTATAAACCCTACTTGGTTATTTTTTTAATGTTCACTAATATTTTATTTATTTTATAATTCATTCCTTTTTATTGTTGAGTATTATTCCATGATATGGATGTATCACAGTTTGTGAAAACTGAGTGAAAAATATATATTGTATCTGTTTCCTTCACAGAAGCTGGGGAAAAAAATCTTGTATTGCCAAAGTGATGTTAGGATACATTTTTTATACATGGTGAAATTATTGAGTTAAAAATATTAATCTGCATAATTTTTTCCTCTCTCATAGGAATCTTTGCTATAGAGATTTCTGACACGTGAAAAGATTCTTCACATCCTTGGGAAAGGTCAAAGTTACAAACTGATTTTTTTTTTTTTTGCTATATGATTGCATTTATCTTTTGAATGCTTGACGATGTTAAATGTATTTATTAACTTTGTGCCTCTGAATCTCTGTTCTTATATGCCATATCGCAGTGATCTGAGATGACTTATAGAAACAAAAATGCGTATGGCTTTTTCTATCCATACAGTAATAGTGAGTGTAAAATCTGCTTACTTCACTATTGGACACTGTTATGTTAACTATCCGGAGTAAATAAAGAATCTTATAAAAAGAGGGAAAAGTGTTTTTACAAAACTGATTTCCTTTCCTTTCTTGATATCTCAAATAATTGGTTGGTTAAATTTTTTCTTTTTGATTTATACTTTCATGGCTGGAGAAGTTGTGCCAAAATAGACACAGTTTACTGATACTGGCCTAGGACCCAATATAACATTTTGGAACCAACCTGACATAAATTCCAGGCCGTAATCTGACTTCAAAGCAGAAGATAGTAGGAGTATGTCAAGGTTTTTAAATCCATAGTATTGTATCACTAATTAACATACATTTTCTACAATTGTGTCTACCCCTACTATTTTTAGAAAGGTAGGTGATGCTCTATCTGTCAAGAATGTATGATTTTTAAAAATCTGTATTTTTAATAAGTTTTCTTTAAAACATTAAAGTACTGTAATCAACTTAATTGCCATTTTATTTATTTATTTTTTTGCCTGTGACAGCTGTCTGTAATGTAGAGTAACAAGTTCAGTGATGTTTCCTTATTTCCCCTAAAATCTCCTAAATCTCTTACCTTTTTTGTCCATAGGCTTTGATTTAATGTTGATATTAGAGCCTGAACACTACTGTATTTTACTGATATAAGCTATTTGTATTCTTGCCATTTTAATTAAAAAAAAGTCCTGTCATTAATAGTATTCAGATGACGTAGACAGTTTCTCATTTTATATAGTCACTATTCAGTATGACTACAGTAATGTAAGATAGTGCCCTGATTTACATCTTGTTTAATCATTAGCACTCTGATATTTTACTATAAATTCACGCTATATATTCACTTTAGTTTGATTTTTAAAAACTTTGAGGTTTCTGTATCTAGTTCAAGAAAGTCATTACAGATTGGTTTTAAAATTCAATAACTTAAAATAAGATGACCTTTTACAAACATTTTAGAGAATAATATACAAAAAATTGTTCTTGCTGATATTAAAAATTATACCGATAAATATGCAAAATTAACCTTTACCAAGTGTTGCAATGACCTAAGCACTAGGTCATCACAACATTAATTTTAGTCTATCCACCTCCTAGAAGAGCTGACAAGGAGCTGTGTGTCACCTCTCATATGCACATAACATATATTTTATGTGGAGGACAGTATGTGGGGAGAGGGAGAGAAGCATGAGAGAAATAGGAATAACATATGTAAGAAAATATTTCTATACTTGGTTAAAAGTATACTGTACTTGTGCCATTAATTACAGAATATTTAAAAGTGAACTTATATGGTAAGTGTAAAGGGGCCAACATTATCCAAATGTAGGGTAACCTCAACTGTAGTCTATGTTAAAACCCAAAGAAAAGATTTTTTTCTTATGGTAATATTTAAGAACATTTATTGTTTTAAATGAGATTCCGATCGCTTAATGTAAATATATAATAGCCTATTGATGTGGTAGAGACTGCCTAATGCAGTAAAATACACAATACAAAAATTATACCAAACATATTCTTTCTTTGATGACAAAGAAATATCCTGAAAAAGAGCTCTCAGCTTTGAAATGTCATTTTTTTTTTAATACTTTGAAGATTTTATTTATTTATTTATTTATTTTTCCCCCAAAGCCCCAGTAGATAGTTGTATGTCGTAGTTGCACATCCTTCTAGTTGCTGTATGTGGGACGCGGCCTCAGCATGGCTGGAGAAGCGGTGCTCGGTGCGCGCCCGGATCCGAACCCAGGCCGCCAGCAGCAGAGCGCACCCACTTAACCGCTAAGCCAAGGGGCCGGCCCTGAAATGTCATGTTTAATATAAATCCACTCTTGCTGAAGTAAGGGTGTTTTGAAAGAGGATTGTTAACCCTCTGAGTTAAATATCTCATAGGCACTGAGTCCCGGTACATCTAAACTAAATTCAACAATGTCTTCTCTTTGCATTTTCTGCCCTTGTTTCTCATCATGCAGTGTCACCAGTCACTGTGTCAGATGCCTGAACCCTGAGCCCAGATGCAATCCCAAATCACTCCCTTCCCTTCTCACTCCACGCATTCAGTCAACCTAAGTGTCACTTCCTACTACACAATATTGGTGAAAGGAATTAAAGAAGACCTAAACAAGTGGAAGGACATCCCATGTTCATGGAATGGAAGGCTTAATACTGTTAAGATGACACTATCCTCCCAAACCATCTTCAGATTAAATACTTATCATCGAAATCCCATTGGAGCTTATGTTTTCTGCAGAAATGGAAAAGCCAATCCTAAACTTTATGTGGAATTGCAAGGGACCCAGAATAGCCCAAACAATCTTGAAACAGAAGAACAAAATTGGAGGATTCACATTTCTCAATTTTAAAACTTACTACAAAGCTGAAATAATCAAAGTAGTGTAGTACAGGCATAGGGACAGACATATTGATCAATGGAATAGAATTGAGAGTCCAGAAATAAACCCAAACCTCTATGGTCAATTGATTTTTGACAAGAGTGCCAAGTCCATTCAGTGGGGAAAGAACAGTCCCTTCAACAAGCGGTGCTGAGACAACCAGATAACCACATGCAAAAGAATGAAGTTGAACCCTTACCACACACCACATACAAAAATCAACTCAAAATCAATCATATACCTAAATTTAAGTGCTAAAACTATAAAACTCTTCGAAGAAAACACAAAGGCAGATCTTCATGTCCTTGGATTTTACAATTGTTTCTTAAATATGACAACTGACAAGCATCAACAAAAATAGGTAAATTGGACTTCATCAGAATTAAAAACCTTGTGCGTCCAAGGACACTATCAAGAAAGTGAGAGACAACCTAAATAATGAGAGAAAATATTTGCAAATCATATATCTAATAAGGGTTTAGTCTCCAGAATATATAAAGAATTTTTATAAGCCAACAACAAAAAGCAACTCAATTAAAACATGGGCAAAGGATGTGAATAGTCCTTTCTCCAAAGAAGATATACAAATGGCCAATAAACCCATGAAAATATACTCAATTAGTCACTAGGGAAATGAAAATCAAAACTATAATAACATACCACTTAACATGCACTAGGATGACTATAATAGAAAAGATGATCAATAACAAATATCGATGAGGATGTGGAGAAATTGGAATGCTCACTCGTTGCTGGTGGAAATATAAAATGGTGCAGCCACTGTGGAAAACAGTTTGGCAATTCCTCAATAAGTTAAACATAGAATTACTGTATGACCCAGCAATTCAACTCTGAGGTATATACCCAAAAGAATTGAAAATGTATTCAAACAAAAACTTGTACATGAATGTCCTTAGCATTTCTAATTCACAGTAGGCAAAAGGCAGAAATAACCCTAATATCCAACAACAGATGAATGAATAAACAAAATGTGGTATATCCCCAACAATGGAACATTATTCAGTCACAAATATGAATGAGATACTGATACAACATGGGTAGCCCTTGAAAACATCGTCCTAAGCGAAAGAATCCAGACACAAAACCCACGTATTTTATGATTCCATTAATATGAAATATCCAGAAAGGCAAATCCATAGAGACAGAAAGTAGATTAGTGGTTGCCAGGGGCGCAATGGGGAGGGACTGCTTAGTGGGTATAGGGTTTTCATTTAAGGTGATGAATAAGTTCTGGAACTAGATAATGGTAATGGTGTACAACACTGTAAAAGTACTTAATGCCACCGAATTATACAACTTTAAATGGTTAAAATGGTAAATTTTATGTTATGTGTATTTTACCACAATAAAAAAAGTTACTTCCTCAAGGTTTCTCTGACTCCCAGTATTGGTCTGTCTGGGTCAGATTCCCCTGTAAAAGTACCCAATATTTCTCCTGTAAAGGATTTATCACAGCTGTAATTAATTATTTGTGTAATTACTTGTCTAATATCTGTCTTTCCTTCTGTACTGTAAGATCCATCAGGGCAAGGGATCGTATGTCTTCACCATTGTATCTCTTAGGGTGTAGCACAATGCTTGATGCATTCTAGGTATTCTGTAAATACTTATGGAACAAATAAAGGAATGAATTATCCCCAGTTCCTGACAATTCTATCTCCTGAATTATCTTTGAAATGAATTCTCTTTTCTCTGTTCTCACTTTAATCCAGACCATAGGTAACTTCTTAATCTAGAATAATGCAATAGCCTCCTATTTGCTCTGTCTGCTTTCAGTCATACTGTCATCTAATCCATTCTCCACACAGTAGTTTTAAAACACAAATATGATCACATCTGTCTCCACACACGCACCGTGAGTACCAAATTTACCGTTAGACTAAAGTCCAAGTTCTAATATCGCCTTCACAGACCTCTCTGATGTGATTTTTTTTTTAATTTCTTCAGCTTCATACCTCACCCCTCTTACCTTACAATTATGTATCATAGTTATTCTGAATTGCTTTCAGTACCTTGAACAGTTTATTCTCTTTTGGCCTTTGCATATGCTCTTTCCTCTGCCTGGATCACTCATTTTTCTCTCTCTCATTCCCCCTCCAAGCCTGGAAAATTCTTGTTTGGCTTAACATTTTGTCCTTAGCACTTAGCACAATGCCTGGAACATAATATGTGCTCAATAAATATTTTAAACAAAAAATGAAAGTCTTATTCTTGTCTAATTTCTATGTATTTTTCTATTCATTATTAACTTCACATGTCCTATGTGCTCCATTGCATTTTATCATATGGTCTTGTTTGAATGTCATACCTGCTAGACTGTGAGCTTCATGAAGACAGGGGGAGTAGTCTGAATTATTTATCATGGTACAGACCATGCCAGACTCATAGTGACTTCCGGTTGATATATATTTATTGAAAGAGTTTAGAGTATAGGTAGTTAAGATCATAGATTCTAGAGTCCCACTGCTTGACTTTACATCATGTCTCTACACTTACTAGCTGTGTACTTGGGCAAGTGAGCACTTAAGCTTTCCAAACTTTATTTTCCTCATCTGTAAAAGGTGTATTTATAATAGTACCTAACTCAAAATAGTATCATGTAGATTAACTGAAATCTATAGGTTTGAGTCTCAAGAGAGAAAATTTGGCTGAAGATAGATTTGGTAGCCCTCAGCAGTTATAGGATAGGAAATGAAACTGAAAAAGAAGATAGGGAAAACAAAAAGCAGTTCAGGAAGGAAAACATTAAAGCAATTCAGGAAGGGAAAGATTAATCATGGTTTACCAGATGGCTCAATTGTAAATACTGCTTTATTGTCATAAACACTGAATATAAATCGAAGCAAAATTACGAAATTAATTAATGAGAGGATGAAAAAATGAGAAAGAAGCAATATGTGAGAAAGGCCTGGGAAGGAAATAAAGCTAAATTCTCTTCTTTCGTAGTAGGAAGTCAATAAATAATGCCTAAAACTAAAAAATCAAGACATAGTGCTATGTTTAGAGAAGAGGATACCAAAACAATCAGCTAAAAGAAGTGAAAATATTTGGCTCTGGGAGGGGGAAATGCAGGGGTGGAAATGAGGCTGACTGGAGACTGCTTGTTGTCTTAACCTTATAGAACTATGTGAATCTTTTGTAATTTTGATAGAAATTAAAATTAAAACAAAAATGCATAAATATTAAATTTTTGTTTTGTTTTAAGAGAGAAGGTGAGAGACAATCAATAGCTAGAAGGCTTCCGAAGTGTTCTCTAATCCCATCAGCCCTAAGTTATTTTACCCTTCTCTAAC